GCCTCTTCGGGCTCTCCTGGAGAACGTCTTGGAGGCCTCTTGGGCCATCTTGGAGGCATCTTGGGGCCATCTTGGCCGTCTTGGAGGGCATCTTGGGCCGTCTTGGAGGCATCTTGGAGCCATCTTACCCGTCTTGGAGGCCATCTTGGCCGTCTGGGAGGCATCTTGGAGGCCATCTTGGGCCATCTTGGCCGTCTTGGAGGCCATCTTGGGCCAAGTTGGGGCAACAAAGGCATTGGCAGACGGATTTTGGGAGAATTACGGGTGGCCGGCGGGACGGGCCGAAGCCCATTGGGGAGTTCTTTTAGAAAAAGAACCAAAACCAAAACCTGAATCGTCCAGCACGCCGTGCACCCCTGCAAGCAGGGGGTGGCGGATCTAATGGTCTTCGGCCCATCCCGCCACCGTGCCTGGGTTGTGGGTCTGAGTCCTCAGGGATGCTTCTTGGGGTCTCTTCGGGGCGCTCTCGGGGGCCTGTGGGGGGGGGGCAGTTTTTGAACCTCTTGGGAGCTTCCTGGGGGCCTTTTGAGGGGTTCATGGGGCCTCTTGGGGGCTTCTTGGGGGCCTCTTGGGGGCCTCTTGAGAGCCTCCTGGGAGCCTCTCGGGGCGGAGGGCTCGAAATGTCCGTTCGGGTCCCCCGTCTGGGCAACCTCTTGGAGCTGTCTTGGGGACCTCGTGGGCCCTCTTGGAGGCCTCTTGGGCCGTCTTGGGGCCCTCTTGGGCTGTTTTGGGGCTCTCTTGGAGGACTCTTCGGCTGTTTCGGGCCGATATGGGGACCTCTAGGGCCGTCTTGGAGCATCGGGAAGCCGAAAAGGCGAGTACGCCAGCATCATTTAAATACCTTAGGAACATCACTGTTTTCTTCCTTTCGGGGCCCTCTTGGGACTGCTCTTGGAGGCCTCCTTGGGCGCCTTCGAGTCTCCTTAGGCCGTCCAGAGGCCACCGTGGGCGTCTTGGAGCGAGCTTTCGGCGATTCTGGGCTCTCCTGGGCCGTCTGGGCAGCCTCCCGGGGCTTTCTTGGCCCGTGCCGGGGCCCTCCCGAGCGAGGGGGCCGTCCCAGAGGCCGACGCGAAGCACCGCTCGGCAGCGCCCCGGCGCCGCTCGGCAGCGCTCGTATAGCGCCCGAGAGCGCCCAGGAAGCTGGGGGGTCCGGGCCGGAGGACGGGGGAGAAGGAGGAGCAGCAGGAGGGGGAGGAGGAGGAGGAGGAGGAGGAGGAGGAGGAGGAGGAGGAGCGGAGGAGGAGGAGGAGGAGGAGGAGGAGGAGGAGGAGGAGGAGGAGGAGGAGGAGGAGGAGGAGGAGGAGGAGGAGGAGGAGGAGGAGGAGGAGGAGGAGGAGGAGGAGGAGGAGGAGGAGGAGGAGGAGGAGGAGGAGGAGGAGGAGGAGGAGGAGGAGGAGGAGGAGGAGGAGGAGGAGGAGGAGGAGGAGGAGGAGGAGGAGGAGGAGGGAGGAGGAGGAGGAGGAGGGGAGGAGGAGGAGGAGGAGGAGGAGGAGGGAGGAGGAGGAGGAGGAGGAGGAGGAGGAGGAGGAGGAGGAGGAGGAGGAGGAGGAGGAGGGAGGAGGAGGAGGAGGAGGAGGGGAGGAGGGAGGAGGAGGAGGAGGAGGAGGAGGAGGAGGAGGAGGAGGAGGAGGAGGAGGAGGACGGAGGAGGAGGAGGAGGAGGAGGAGGAGGAGGAGGAGGAGGAGGAGGAGGAGGAGGAGGAGGAGGAGGAGGAGGAGGAGGTGGAGGATGGAGGAGGAGGAGGAGGAGGAGGAGGAGGAGGAGGAGGAGGAGGAGGAGGAGGAGGAGGAGGAGGAGGAGGAGGAGGAGGAGGAGGAGGAGGAGGAGGAGGAGGAGGAGGAGGAGGAGGAGGAGGAGGAGGAGGAGGAGGAGGAGGAGGAGGAGGAGGAGGAGGAGGAGGAGGAGGAGGAGGAGGAGGAGGAGGAGGAGGAGGAGGAGGAGGAGGAGGAGGAGGAGGAGGAGGAGGAGGAGGAGGAGGAGGAGGAGGAGGAGGGGAGGAGGAGGAGGAGGAGGAGGAGGAGGAGGAGGAGGAGGAGGAGGAGGAGGGAGGAGGAGGAGGAGGAGGAGGAGGAGGAGGAGGAGGAGGGGCACTCCACGCCGCTTGGGGTGGAGTGGCCCAGGGGCTGCTCTCGCGGGGGGGCACCTCTCGCGGAGTGAAGTGCCCGGGGGGCTTCCCTCCACCCTTCAGGGGCTCCTCTCACGGAGCGGAGTGCCCTTCAAGGCTCGCAGGGGCTCTACCCGTGCAGCCTTGGGGCACTCCACTCCGTGCCAGAGGCACGGTGGCGGAGAATGAACTGGTCATCGCCCGAGCCGCATCATTGAGAAGAGCATCGCGGAACATAACCTGACATAACCTATCGTATCATAACGTGGTGCCACAGGGCAAGTCATACCAGAACATTTCAAGGTACTCTGTGACAGAGCTGACAGAGGTGACCATTACATATGAAACTTCAACACAAGAGACGCCATAAGTGAAATGGAACATCATACTATAATGCGCAGTGCTGTTAGGTTATCAAGCGGGACGTGCGCGTAGAGGTCAAGCTGGCCAGCAACGATCGACTGACGACGTATCTTGTTTGACAGGCGTCACGACGTCTCGCTGGCCCGTCGATAACCGAACAGGATAAACTAAAGCATAACGTAATCGAACGCAGCTGCATGGAACATTGAACACTATTGTTGGACGCAGCAGCTGCAGTTTTCAAGAGGAGCATCACGACATAACATAATAGTTCGTAACACACCAAAGCCAGTCGTTGCATACCGTATTGAATTTGGCATAACGGAAACAAGACATGTGAACAGAGCATCGTATAGTATAGTTTGATATAAGACTTTATGCCATCACATTGTGGCGCAAAACAGGGCACAGCAACACATATCAAAGCATATTGTGACAGGGTGAGCATAACAGAGCATACCTAACAGTATTGAAAAAGTGAAGACGAATTCCTGCTCATACTCCTGCTGCTGCTCCTCCTCATCTTTCTTTCCGAACAGTGAAAAGGTCTCGAACCATGCGTTTTTGGGTTTGTTTTTTCGCCCCAGGGCTTGTTTCGTTATTGAATCGCTTCGCTCATTCCGCCGGCCCGTGATATGGCATCGCTGGTTTTTGTCTGTGTGTTCGTTGCCCATGTTGCGCTCTTGGGGGCGGGTGTCGTTCGGACGCGTTGCGTGGGGAGTTTTGATGGTGAAGCAGTTCCCTGGGGGTCGTCTCTCGATGGGGCGAAATAGAGTCGTCGTCAAGATGCTTCTTTGGGGGGCCTCTTGGGGTCTGTTGAGAGGCCGTTCGGGGGCGCCTGGGAGACATGTTTGAAGCCTTCTGGGGCTTCTTTTGGGCCTCCTGGGAGTCTCCTGGGGCCTCTTGGCGACATCTTGGGGCCTCTTGGAGGCCTCTTGGGGCCTCTTTGGGACCTCCTGGGCGCCTTCTGGGACGGAGGGCTCCATTTTTGAGTTCTCGGTATCCCTCCTGAGTCCCTCTTGGGCCCGTCTTGGGGCCTCTTGGTCCGTCTTGGGCGGCACTTGGGCCGTCTTGAGGGCTCTCTTGGGTCGTTTCGGCGCCGTCTTGGGAGCTTCGTGGGCCGTCTTGGAGCGGTCTTGGGGGCCTCTTGGGCCGTCTTGGAGCGTCCGGAAGCCGAAAAAGCCAGAACACAAAAAACATAGAAAAAAACAATGAAAATCAACGATTTTGGCCTCTTGGGGCTCTCTTCGGAGGCCTCTTGGAAGGCTCTTGGGGCGTCTTGGAGGCCTCTTGGGCTGTCTTGGGGGCCTTTTGGGCCGTCTTGGGGTCATCTTCGGCGTCTTCGAGCGCTCTTTGGGCGTCTCGGGGGCCTCTTGGGCAGTCTTGGGGGCCTCTTGGGGCACTCTGAGCGCGCTCTGGGGAGCCTGAGAGGCCGCACCCAGAAGGAAAACCATCTCTGAGTAGACTTGGTCGGGCGGCGGTCGGGCGGCGACCGGGCGTTGGTCGGGGTACTTTTCGCCGGGGGACCCCCAGGGGCCGCCCCGCGCGCGCGAACTAGAAATACTGTTAATACTGTTAACCAGTTACCGGAGATCTTAGCACGCCCTGGCCCGTTGGGCCGGCGATTTTTTTCGTCCTGGGCTCTGGGGTTGCTCGAATTTGCGACAGCGACATGTTGCGACCTGGCCCGACCGCTGCGCTGGCCGAAACCACCCGGCCCCGCGCGCATCGTTCCAGCATAGGCGCGTGCGCCGTCGGGAATACACGCCGAAGCTTTCGTTGGGGATCGCTCGAAGCACAACAAGTCAGGATTCAGGACGCAATTATTTTTATCTCGGCTTCGGATGTTGGACCCTTGCCCCGTACCCATCTCCTTCTACCCCCCCAACGTCAAGGATAATGTATCATCAGAGTGGGGGGTCCCGCTCGCGCGAGGGCGCTTCCAAGCTGCACACGTGTTATCTGACTTGTGGCGAATGGCAGGCCTCTTTGCGTTCATGTTGAGCTTGTGATGTTACTTCTCCTTTTGGCAGTCGGGGGGCGCGGGGCGCGGCCTGGGTCTTGGAGTCGAATCGGCACATGCGCCAATTTCCAGAGAGCACGTTTTCACCGCCTGCAGTGCCAAAAGCACGTGGTTCGATGACCTCAAGCAGGACTCACCATGCAGCGTCTGGTCGTAAACCCTCCCGATGACACTGATCCCTTGAGGCATCGATGATGCGAGCAAATTGCGCGCACAAGCGCCAGACTTGTCGGACGGGGCTAGGACGAGGATAGATCCGTTCCAGAGCGCTCCCGAAAGCTCTCAGAGCGTTCCCGAACGCTCTGAGAAGGCCGCGGCGCCCGAGACATCCTCCAGAGCCGCCAGATCTCAGAGATTCTCGATTTATCCTGACCCGAACTTGTCATCGTCCTAGATTGGCCAGGCGGGCGTACACGCCCCAGGCTAAGGGCCCGCGCAGAGGCTGGACCCGGCCAGGCTCGGCGCTGCCGCACACCTTCTGCGCTCCCCACCCTGGGCCGCCGCGAGGAGTACGCGGAGGTCCTGGCCGAGGGCTCCTGCGGCGACGTGCAGCTGGGGGAGGTGGAGAACCTGCCGGAGCTCGTGCCGGAAGCCGAGGGAGGAACGACAATCAGACGGGTGGCAGCCTACATGGGTCGACTAGACGTAAGAGTGACCTTTCGCCGGAGTGACCTTTGGTGCGGGCACAGATGGGTCCCCAGGCGGCTGAAAACGAAGCAGGTGCAGCGGCTTGCGCGCCCCGGTTTGGTCCCCCCGCGGCCCCCCAAAAGCCGCGCACCAAAGGTCACTCTTACCCAGGGTCGCCCTTGCGTGTAGCCGAATGGGGGCGAAGAAAAGGGCCGCAAAGGGGCCCTTTTCGGGCCCCTTTTGGAGCCAGCGGGTGCCCAAAATGGGCCCTGAAAGGCCCCTGTAGGGTTTGTTCTTCACCCCCAATGTGGGTCACCTTTCATTACCACCCGCCCGAGAAACCCTCCAAACACACATCCCCATAATTTGCCTTTGCCAAGCGGCCCTGCGCGATTGCTGAAGCAGCCCTGCCCTGATCGATTCATTCCACGGGTGTGTTTCTTACACGGCGTCGCTGGTCGGGGTGCTCCTTCTGAGGGTGAGTTTTCTGCTCTCTAGGAAGGCTCGGTGTTCTTCCTGCTGAACGGGGCCGCCCAGGGCTTGCTCGCCCGCACAGGCGCAGGCTGCTTCGGCTCTGCCGCAGTGGCGGCCGCGGCCAGGCTGTCACCGAGGGCGGCCCGCGTCCGCGCCGTGAGCCCGATGGGCCGCCGGGTCGACGGCCTCGCCTCGGCGCGTGCCCAGGGCGGCTTTGTGCACCTGCTAATCCTCGGCGATCAGGGTCAACGTTAGGGGCGGATAGAGGGTATGAAGTTTCGAGGTGCGAGGTTTTCGGACATGTCCGTCGGTTGTCGGCGGCTTTCCAGCCTCGCGGTGCTCTCCAGCGGCTGCGCCTCGCCGCGGGTGTTCCCTGGGTTCCCGGATCGTCCCGAACGACCGCCGTGGAGCCGAGTTATGACCCGAAAACCACGGGGCAATGTCGTGGGGGGTCGGCTCAGGGGGGGGGGATGCATCGACCCCCAGTCGCACATTGATTACCGATGGGGGCCTCGATAGCCCACACCGCCCAGGAACGTGGGGAGTCGCCATCGGGGGCCTATCGCTGGTCAGTCGGCAATGCGTCGCCGATTCCATGCGATGTTTCACGCCCTGAGCTTGTCCCCCCCGATCGTTGCCCCTCAGGCGAGCGCTTCCACTGGAGTCCCGTGCGCCCAGGCTTCGTGCGGCGGCTGCACAGCGAGGATCTCCTCGAGATGGTGACGCTGTCCGTCGCCCCGCCCGTCTTCCTGGTGCGCTCGTCGAGCGGCAGCGTCATCGGGTGGGACACTCAAGACCTGATCCAGGTGGCGCAGCCGCATTTGCGGGACTCCCCTGAGAAGCATTACGGCAAAGGCATGGAGAGGCACAGAACGTCACAAACGGCGATGATCCCCAATTCTGGCAGGTCATTCCGGGCTCAGAAACTTACGCAGAGCCTAGCCAGGCTCGGAAGCGTTTCACAGGTGGAGGGCCTGCAGGTTGTCAAATATCGCAGGGACGAACACTACAAGAAGCACCAAGACTTTTTTGTTAAAGGTGAGGAGGTGGAGTTTGATCAGTGGGTCGAGTGGCTGGAGCAGAGGCTGAGGGAGAACGCCACGCTGAAGGACGCGATTGCAAGTGCAGATTCGCGCTTGCACCCGGCCAGCCCGTCCTTCAGCCGAGCATTGTATGAACACCTGAAAGCGGGAAGGATGCTCAACGAGCAAGACTCGGCATGGGTGGGGGATGCAGTTTCGGACGAGGACTACAAGAGTAGATTTCGGCATGTGTTGAAGGTGGCACCGTTGGCGCGCCTAGCGAAGCGGGCCTTCGCGTCAGCAGTGCGCACGCCAGAGCTTGTGATGCCAGAGCCTCCGCTCGGGCAGAATCGCCTGGCGACCCTGTTCGTGTACCTGAACAGCGAGTTCGAAGGCGGCGCGACTGGCTTCGTGAGCGCCAGAATGCCGCCAGATCCACCGCCGGAGCTGGTGTGGAGCACATACGCTCTGCCTGAGTGCCAGAGCGGCATCCAGGTAAGGCCCAAGGCTGGCGACGCAGTGCTGTTCTACAACCTCCGGGCGGATGACGCCGTGGAGCCACTGTCCCAGCACGTCGCGTGCCCTCCCCACAGTGGCGTGAAGTACGGGGCCAACGCCCGGATCTCAATTCCCACTGGTCGTTTGCTGGGCGATCATGGTCGCAGTGACCACTGGTTGCGTTCGGTAGCAAATCCTGGGGTCCTTGTGTGTCCTCGTGACACCGTCGTTGGAGTGCACTCGCATGTGCCAGCGTCGTGGCAATCGATGAGGAAGCGCCGATCCGGCGTCGGTTTGCGCCGACTGGCGTCGATCCGGCGATTGACGTCGATCAGTGCCCACTCGCAGGAGCCCACGAGATGGAATTGCAGGCCCCAGTGAGCTGCCGCAGACCGCCGCGCCAGTGCCGATCGCGCGACCGGCCTGCTCCGATCGACCCCGCCCGGCTGCAAGGCCGGCCTGCGAGCGGCAGCGGGGCTCTTGCCGCCTCGCTGGGCCGCGCGACGGGCGGGGCGCCGCGCGAGGCCCCGCGGCCGGCCCCGCGCCGAGGTGTGGATCCAGACCGGAGAGCCCTCGCGGCTGGAGCTGTGAGCACGGTGCCCCACTGCAGTCGAGCATCCGATGAAGGAGAGGCCTCCCGAAAAGCTGGGCCGGAGTCTGTCAACCGGCCTGCTGGAATGCTGGAATCTTGTGCTTCCAGAAAGGGCCCCAGGGGGAGGGACTTTTGAGACGGGCGATGCCGATTTCTCAAGTCCGTTCGGCTTCGCCCACAAGGTCGCTGCGCGACGCTTTCGCTCGCACTTTTCGAGGTCTCAAATGCAACGCCGCGGTCTCAGAAGTCCCTTTCGCTGGCGCCCCTTTAGGAAACGTGTCATGGAAGGCCGGCCCAGTTTCCTGAGCACGTTCGTCCCTCCAGCGTCCAGCGTGAACCGCAGAAGCTGGCCCTTGCTTATGTGGAGAAGCCTCCAGGAAGCTGGCCCAGATTTCGTACATGATATTTTTCCTTGACCGTTATTTTCGATTCTACAGGCCTAGAGGATGCATCGGCGATGCGTCGCCGATGCCTCGGCGGCGCATCGGCGACGTCCTCGATGTATCGGCTCCATCGGCGTGGGGAAAATCGGAATGCACATCGAGCCGCATCGCCGATGCATCGGCGACGGCGCGATCATCCGATCCCATCTGCTCGGACCCCATCTAGGAGGCCTAGACCCACAACCCCGCGGCTGGCGTTGCGCCTTGCTCCCTGCCGACTCGCTTCACCTCGCGCTGCATCTCATCTCACTGCAGTTCTCAGGAGGGAAAGAAACACACAGACACAATTAGTCGTCGATCCCCAGGAAAATATACGAAAATATGGGAAGTGGGGAGGAAGACGAAAACCCAGAACATATGGGAAACTATGGGGGATATTTTTATTTGTGTGTATTTATGTGTGTGTGTGTGTGTGTCCTGGGGCCCCTTTAAGTTCGTGGTATACCCTCCTACCCTGCCCCACCCCGCACCGTCCAGGCCCACCCGTGCCCACCCTCTCCGGGCCACCCCGCCCCAGCCCCCCTCCTCCTCCTCGTTCTTCTCCTCCTCCTCCCCGTCCTCCTCCTCCTCCTCCTCCTCCTCCTCCTCCTCCTCCTCCTCCTCCTCCTCCTCCTCCTCTCTCCCGTCACCCCGTCCCCTCACCACCGAGTCGTGCGCTTGCTCCTCTTCTCGCTTTCTCGTGCCTTCCCTCGCTCTTGGTCTCGGCGTGCTCGGCCGTGGTGGTTGCAACGCCATGTCGCGTTCCATCCCGGCCCATCCCGATTCGGCAGGGTGAGCGCGATCAGCATTGGAGGAAGAGGCCATCTGGCTGACGAGGCAGCCCGTGCTAATTCCGCTGGCCAGGAGGCCAGCCCTTGATGGACCCCGTTTTTCTTTTCCAGGGTTTGGGAGGATTCGTTGTGGGGGCCCAGGATCTGTCCTGAGGTCCTTGGGCTTTGGATTCATTGAGCTCGGGCCCAGGGGGTGTGGCTCGAAATTGCTGAGGGTGCTGAGGATCCGGGGGCAAGCAGGCTATGGATGCTTCCATAGCCACCTTACGGCCAACTTCCTCGAGACGTTGCCAACGGACAGGAGCCATGCTGGCTTCAGATGACACTGATGGTCACGGGCGTGCTGTGAGTGCAGGCCACCCTTCCAGTGAGTGGCTTCATGTTCACGAAGCACCAAGGCAAGGGCACGAGGACGGCGGTAAACGCAGTTCAGCCACGGTCTTTGCAGCGCGGCGCGCGAAGATAGCAAAGTTAATATAAGCGCTTCGCGCGTCCCTGTCAGCCATTCCCGCAAGCTGTGTCTCGCTTTCTTCTTGCTGGGTCTCGCGCTGACTCACCCTGGTTGGTGTCTTGTTGTGCTTCTGCGCGTGTGCTGTCGCATCGGGTGTGGTCGACCGTAGAGGCATGTGCTCCGATCTTCTTTTGATGGTCTCTTGGCTGCGCGGCTTGGTGTCCTCTGATTGTGGACGTGCCAGTTCGCAATTGTGCCCATGTGTGCAGCTGCGGTAATTCAAGTGGTTGATTCTTCTCCCGCGCTTCAGCTCCTTTGTCACTGCCGTATGTGTCATCGTTCTCCGCCACCTCCGCCATCGAAGGCTTCACCCTCATGTTGGACATCCGCCTCTGTTTCCTCGTGTTCCACTTCTTCCGTTCGCGCGGCGGTCATCGTCTCGTCTTCCTCCATCTTCTGTTCCTCCTCCTACTCTTCCTCCTCAGGCGTCTGACCATAATAGGTCAACTTCGGATGCGTGTTTGTGCGCGCGCGTGTGTGTATGTGTGTGTGTGTGTGTGAGTGTGTGTGTGTGTGTGTGTGTGTGTGTGTGGGGCATGTCGGGTTCTTATGGTGGCTTCTCGGGTGCCTGTCAACGTCTCAGAGTCTTCTTAGCGTCTTTGCAGTCTCTTGGGCTCTTGGGGTCCTTGAAAGCAGTCTTGCACGTCTCTCGGTGGCTCATCAGGCTGCTTAAGGTCTCCTTGGAACCACGTTGGGCGCCTCTTGGACGTATCTTCGGCGCCTGCTCGGGGCCTCTCGAGGTGCTTGGGGACCCTTGAGCTGTGTTGGGAGCCTCTTGGGCCGTCTTGTGAGCCTCTGGGAGGCCCGTCAGGCCGGCTCTCTTGGGGGCTTCTCGGGGGCGCCCTGAGCCGTTTCAGGGGCTTCTTGGACCCTCCTGGACGCCTTTTGCGCATCTATTGGGCGCCTCCTGGTGGCCTCTTGGGCTGTCTTGAAGGCTTCTTTCTTGGGGGCCACGGATGCGGGGAGGAGGAGGAGGAAAAGGAGGAGGAGAAGGAGGAGGATGATGACGATGATGATGCTGCTGCTGCTGCTGCTGATGATGATGATGATGATGATGATGATGATGATGATGATGATGATGATGATGCTGCTGCTGCTGCTGCTGCTGCTGCTGCTGTTGTTGTTGTTGTTGTTGTTGTTGTTGTTGTTGATGATGATGATGATGATGATGATGATGATGATGATGATGATGATGGTGGTGGTGGTGATGATGATGATGATGATGATAAGGAGGAGGAGGAGGAGGAGGAGGACTCTTTGAACTCTTTGATTACGGACGCTGTCCTGGAAACGATTTTGAATCATTGGATCATTGGAGCTACTCCCAGCCCCCTTCGGGCTGGGGCTCCTGGCCCTGGCCTGGCCAGGTGGGAGCAGCGCGGCGTATCCCGCTGCCTCCTGAGGCTCCCGAGGCTCAGCAGCCTGGCCAGGAGGGCCCGATCCTGGGTTTTCCTGAGGCGGCCGATTGAGGTCCGCCCTCGCCACACACACACTGCCAAATCTCGGGCCCCGATGGCCTCACACATTGCCCTCGGGGGACCCTTCTTGCGCGGGAGCAAGCCTTTGGCGAGCCAAGGTGTTCTCCGAACCTTTGGGGGGTCCTCCCATCACAACTAGCTACTAAATTTCGGGGATCGACTATCACATACAGGCCACACTCGGTGCACACAAACAACAACCGTTGTTCAACCTTTTTGGATTTTGTGAGAGTGGTGAATCCTCGCGCACATGCCAGCCCTGATCTCCAATGGCAGGCGCGATTCTCTCACCTGTAGCGGCCTGGGACTCGACCCCGACTTTAGCGGGGTGCTCTGAACATTTCGTGGCCGCGCATTCCCGAGCTTTGTATCGGGGGATAACTCTCTCACAAACCGTGCACCACCAAAAACGTGTGCCTTGACCGCATGGCTCGAGCAGATGATCGGAGGCCGCCGCCGCGGCCGACGGTCGGGACGACCGAGCCTCCCTCTTCAAGGGAGCTCGCTCCGCCCTGGAATTCTCTTCTGCCTCCGCTGCACAGGCTAGGGCTCTTCGAGCCCGTCTCCTGATCAGCGCAGCAGTCGTGCCGACTTGGTCCGTGTCAGGAACCCTCCCCACGACCCTCGACCACGCCAACTCCGCCGCCTCCCCCACGAATCAGCACAGGCATTGCCAGAGGCGAAAAAGAGCTTTTCGCGCGTGTCTACGGTCTCTGGAGCCCCCTCCTGGTGAGAAGGGACCCATTGACTTTCTATATCCTTACAGCTCCGACCCTGGAAGGCTTTACGGGCCCTGGTCCAAAGATCTTCATTGACCCCCACAGGGTCAGGCCTGCAACAACGGGCCCTCCAGGTCCTGGCGATCGTTTTGTGATCTGTCACAAACGTGAAACCTAATTCGGACTGTGCCGTCTCAAGCGCTAGGCAAAAGGCTTTGATCTCAGCTCGGGGGACCGTCTGCATTTTACCTGAGAGCAGGACCCCGAGAGCCTCCCCCAAGGTCCACCCCCCTCCCGCGTCAGAGCAAAGACCCACAATCGTTGCTCCACAGCGGCGTCGTCGTGGGTCAACAGAGTATTTGCCTTCCGAGCCGTCTCCGAAAATGTGTCACCTGCCTGCCTCAGTGCACTCGGCGAAGCCGTGATTATTATACTATACTTGCATCTCGGCGATCCTGGCCTCATCAAGCTCTGGCACTGTTTGGCTCACTGAAGGGAGCCCTTTCAGCCAGAACGTGGGCATCGCCTCGTGCTGCGCGGCCGCCTGGGAGATCAGCACGTCCGTCTTCGCGAAGTCTTCGTGGTCCGTGTTGGCCGTACACTCCTATATCCTGCGGTGCGACGCTTTCTCTCTCTCTCTCTCTCTGCTGGCATCTGGGGCAACTCTTGTCTGTGATGCTGTAGCCTTCTCTTTGCCTTCGCGACCTCTTCCACTGCCCACCTGTCGTAACTAGCAAAGTCGAGTGCCGCCCGATCTGGGGCTCCCGGATGTTCGGTCCCTGCGCTGCCCTCGTCGAAGGCCGCCGCACGTCGCCACCGGGGAGCAGGCCTTGCCCATCTCCACGCTTAGCCGCCTGCTGCCAACACAGTGGGGGCGCGCATCAAGAAGCCAGATGCTTTTCGTCAGGGTATCCAGGGTTTCCTCGCTCCTCGCGCTGCGCGGCGACCTCCCGCAGCAGCCGAAGGAGCCGCTGCGTCCAGGGTGCTCCAGGTTTCCCCTCAGCTGCACCTCGCACACGGGTTCTCAGGGTTGGGTTTCTAGCGAGGGTTTCTTGCGGCCGCGCCCGCATTGTAAAGC